GGGAGAGTTTTTACAGGGCGGCAACCAACCCACACTAGCTAGACGGCTAGGGCGTGCAGCCAAGTTTCGACATGACCCCTCCGACCTTCAGGGAGCCGATCACGCCATAGGGCGGCGTCTTCACAGCAGCATCCAAGCACACGCTGCAGAGACGGGTGTTGTCGCTGGAAGACCACAACGTTCCTATGTTTCCAGAGTTGCCAGCAGCACAGTAAAACGAACTCCAGTAGCAAGGCGAGGCAGCCCGCACACCCTGACTCCATCGGTGTCGACGCCCAGCTTGTTCCAGAAGTCACCCGCGAATGGGCAGACGAAGAGCATGTGATCGGCCGTTTCCAGTGGCGCAGTGCACAATGGACAGCCGGCTTCCGTTGCGGTTACGATGCATTTGCGGAGCAGGACATCCCTGGTGTGTATACGCCTTTGGACCAGCAACCAGCTGAAGAACTGCACACGCGAGGGGATCCGGGCGTCCCAGATCATGTCCACGAAGCCGGCCCTCGCCCCGCCAAACCGCAGCAGCCGGTACGCGGCACTTGACGACAAGGCATTCCGGGGCGCAGCAGCACGGCGCAGGTGCCTCGCGTCCTCCCCCTCACCAGGGGGAGCCTCCACCAGGAAGGCCGACACCGCCTGGAGCTCACGCTCGCCCGCCCTGGTCAGCCTGGGGACCAGACAGCCAGCCAGGCCACGCTGGCGCACCTGCCAGACGGTCGCCTCGGCGTCTGATATTGCACTACTAACATACATAGCTTTTAACTTACTGATTTTGTAACAAAAATACGGACTGCTCGCCAATATATAGCTAGAGTAAGCAAAATCGTAAATTCAGATTCTACACTTTCAACCAACAACAGCTGTCCCTGCCTATGTTGGCAGCTGGATATGTACAACTCGAAAGAAAAATCGAATGGTCCAAATCTCACGAAATGTAATCAGAAGATATTCTTACCTATTGAAACGTTTCAACACATTAGCAACTCAAAGCAGATTGTTATCCCAATGCATCGTGCAAGACTTCAGCTCCATCACATCCACCAACATTGGTTATCCCTAGAAACATAAGATTCAATTAGTGAAAGTGTCAGGCAAAGACAAACGGATAATGGAAGGGACAAATATGTCCGTTACATAGTTGAGCCGGCAAACATAACTTGAGCAATGTAACTCTAGTTGCAGATTTAGAACCTTGAGGGTACACTCCGACCCTTCAACCAAATGAACAAAAATTTCCTTCATTTGTTTGAACTAAGGATGGTACCCTAAAGGTTCCAAATTTGCATCCTTAAAAATAAACTCTTAATTTTTATAGATGAATTATAAAGCCCAGCTTTGGTACTAGCAATACATACACAAAACAACATCTATTGTAAATGCAAGGAATGTCCCTGAGTTTACCTAGATACTTGACAATAGAAGTACTACATATATTATGGATAAGGAATGTTCCTGAAAGGGGTACACTCAGCTACTTCATAATGATAGAATTTAGCTGATAGGAAGAACCAAGACGTGGTCTAGATTTATCTCATGTAAACTTGCATAGCAAGCATACAAAATTAGGAAAACACACCAAACTAATAAACTTTAGCAACAAATTAGTAAGACCGAGCATGAGCAATTACCTGGGGAATAAAAAGCTGTGAAAGGATGGTAGTCAGTGATATAGCTTGTTTCATGAAGGTTTTTGGATTGCATTGACTTAAGATGAACCATGTAGACACTACCGTTCACATATATAAAAATCACATCAGTATCCTCCGAATATCCCAGTATAGTTTTTGCCCCTCTCACCCCTCTCTCAGTCTGAAGAGGGGGCCGAAGAATGTTGTGCATTTCAACGGTCTTCCACATCACCCACGTGGCAACACCGTGATCATTGATGTTCCTGTTCCACATATAGAAGCGTGGATAAGACAATATGGCAAAGCCAAGAGCGCCATCCTCACCCTGAATGATCTGACTATGGCTGGAGTGATCTGCAACCGGTGGACCACTGATCATAGCTAGACTCTCATCTTCCAAATCAAACTCAAGCATGCCATTTGTCATAGTATCCAACCAATAGAGTGCATTACCAACGAGTGACCCGGGTCTATAAGCATCAATAACCACACATGGAACGGACGTTGAGATGAGATTGCCCCATGTGTCGGTTTCAGAGGAATAAACACATGCAAGGGGTCGATGATTGTCCTCGCTGTACATGATCACCAAGACGACCTTGAAAGGGCTGGAGTGACAGCCGCCATGCACGTGGCCCTGGTTGCGGGCAGCACAGAGCACCGCCCCGTTAACGTAGTGTAAAACCTTTTTGAACTCAGGCGGAATGGCCACGCGGCGCTGCTCGTGAGTGACAGGGGCGCACACGACGATCTCCATGGATGCAGAGTCAATGATGAGGACACGACCGTGGCGACATCCGAGCACGTAGTTCTTGTGGGGGGTCCCGCCAAGTGCACCGTGGTTGTGGCTGCAACTGTAGCGTCCAAGGTTGAAGCGCTTAGGAGGGATGCGGTCGGGAGCATCAAGGACCGGTGTGAACACGACGTTGTGGTAGCACCTGAAGAAGCCAAGAAGGGGCGGCTTCCGGTGGTGCACGTAGAAGCTGCGGAGGAACCTGGGGTCGATGACGAGGCGCCGCCATGTAAAACAAATATTCTGGTGGACTGCTCGACACCTCAAGGGGGTGCGGCTATCTCATTATATATAAGTACCAAAGGGTACAATATACAAGATGTATATACAAGTCTACGTTACACAAGTCTACGTACATATACAGTCTAACACCCTCCCTCAATCTTAACTGTGACCCGAAGTACAAACTAAGTTAAGATTGCGCCTACAACCTACAAACTGTGGTTGAGGAAGAGGCTTCGTGAAGATGTCAGCAAGTTGATCCTTTGATGAGATGAACTTGATGCTAAGTAGCTTCTGTGCAACTCGTTCTCGAACAAAGTGATAGTCAACCTCAATATGTTTCGTCCGAGCATGAAACACATGATTAGATGACAAGTATGTAGCACCAATGTTGTCACACCAAAGTACTGGAGGATGAGCTGAAGAGACTCTCAACTCACGCAACAAGGACTGGATCCAAATGATCTCAGCTGTCGCATCAGCCACTGCTTTGTACTCAACTTCCGTGCTGCTGCGAGACACCTTAGCCTGCTTGCGAGCATTCCAAGCAACCAAGTTAGAACCAAGAAACACTGCATACCCCCCCGTGGATCGCCGGTCATCAGGACTACCAGCCCAGTCTGCATCGGAGAAGGCTGAGATCTCAGAAGATGGCGCAGGTTGGATGAGCAAACCATGAGAAGCAGTGAGACAGACATAACGCAGGATACGCTTCACAGCTGACCAATGAGAAGTCCTGGGTGCATGGAGAAACTGACAGACACGGTTGACTGCATAAGAGACATCTGGTCTGGTGATAGTAAGATACTGCAGACCTCCAACAAGACTGCGGTACTCAGTGGCATCATCAGGTGAAAGAGGATCTCCATCAAGAGCAGACAACCGATCAGTGGCAGACATCGGAGTACTGGAAGGTTTACACTTCAACATACCAGCACGACGTAACAGGTCAAGAGCGTACTTCTTCTAAGAAAGAGTTAACCCACCAGAAGACCGTGAAACCTCCAAGCCAAGGAAGAAGTGTAGAGCACCAAGGTCCTTGACAGCAAAATCACCACTCAAAGCAGCAACAAGACGATCAGCAGTAGCATCTGAGGAATTGATGAGGATGATATCATCAACATAGACCAGCAAGTACATCGTAACCTCAGGTCGCTGAAGCAGAAACAGTGATGTGTCAGCAGTGGAGGGGATGAAACCAAGCGCCCGCAGAACAGATCCAAGACGTGCGTGCCATGCACGGGGAGCCTGTTTGAGTCCATATAGCGCCTTGACAAGACGACAAAGATGGTGAGGACGGTCAGGATCCACAAACCCTGGGGGCTGCCGCATATAAACCTCCTCCTTCAAAACTCCATGCAAGAAAGCATTCTGCACATCAAGTTGACGAAGGAACCATCCTCGAGTAACAGCAAGGGACAACAACAACCGAATAGTAGTGGGCTTGATAACCGGACTGAATGTGTCTGCATAATCAAGACCATACCTCTGTTTGAAACCCTTAGCAACGAGCCTCGCTTTGTAGCGTTCAATGGAGCCATCAGCATGCCTCTTGACTTCAAACACCCATTTGGAATCAATAATGTTGATCCCAGATACTGGAGGAACAAGCTGCCATGTGTCATTCTGCAATAACGCCTGAAACTCCTGTTCCATCACAGCACGCCAGTGAGGAATGCTCAGGGCAGCCTGGAAATGACGAGGCTCAGCAGTAGGATCCTCCACAGCATGAGCCATACAAGCAGCGAGCCACGCGACAGTCCCATCGGTACGGATCTTTGGCTGGAACACTCCTGTCTGGCTGCGTGTGCGGGCTCGAGGAGCAGCAGCAGGTGGCGGTAACACGGGACTAGACTCGGGTGGTGACAGAGGAGAGGCCGAGCCACCCAAGCCTGGTGATGTAGGAGAGCCGGGCGGCGTGGAGCCCGCGCCCGAGCTCACGCCGGAGCCAGGCGGCGTTGGGGCCGGCGAGACTGGCCCATATGAAACCAGACCCGACCCCCGTGCAGAAGCGCCTGATCCAGGCGAGTAGGCGGCCGGCTCGGGGGAGGCCCGCCCCGAGGCAGCGGCCGGCTCGGGAGATGCCCGCGCCGAGACAGCGGCCGGCTCGGGAGGGGCCCGCTCCGCGGCCGGCTCGGGGGAAGCCCGCGAGGGGGGCGGGAGCGACGCCCGGGTGGTGGCCGCGGGTGCAGCCCCGGTGGGTAGGCGGGCGCCACCCGGCATGCATGCCCCATGCAGAGGACCGACGTCCAGGTCCAGGGCTGCCGGCGGCAGCTGTTCCTCAAGGAGCTCAAGACGAGCACCACGTCCAACACCTGCAGCATGATTAGGAAGCAACGCAGGAGCATATGCAACATCTACAAATTGACCAGGCGAAGGTGTGATAGAGGAAACGTCCGGTGGAGGAGTGGTAGAGTTTTTCGGAAGTGCACGAAAAGGGAACACATTCTCATCAAACACGACGTCACGAGAGATGTAAACGCGATTGGTGGGAATATGTAGGCATTTGTACCCTTTGTGAAGGGAACTATAGCCAAGAAAAATACACTTTTTCGACCGAAACTCTAGCTTATGTTTGTTATACGGACGCAAATGAGGCCAACAAGCACACCCAAAAACTTTGAGAAAGGTGTAGTCTGGAAGTTCATTGAGCAAGAGTTCAAGTGGAGTTTTCATATTCAGTAGTCGTGAGGGCAGCCTATTGATCAAAAAACAGGCAGTGGAAAAAGCATCACTCCAGAACCTAAAAGGAACGGAGGCATGAGCTAATAAAGTAATGCCAGTTTCTACAAGATGACGATGCTTACGTTCAGCAGCCCCATTCTGCTGATGTGTATGAGGACAAGACACACGATGTGTGATCCCAAGTTTGTTAATGAACAAGTTGAGATGATGATATTCACCCCCCCAGTCGGTTTGAACATGAATAATTTTCTGACTAAGGAGACGCTCAACGTGTGCTTGAAACTGTAGAAAAACATCAAACACATCAGACTTTTTCTTAATAAGATAAAGCCAAGTAAACCGACTGTAAGCATCAATGAAACTGACATAATAATTGTGTCCACTAACAGACGTTTGGGCATGACCCCAGACATCGGAAAAAACAAGCTCAAGAGGATGTTTCACAACACGACTAGACTCTGAAAACGGAAGTTGGTGACTCTTGCCCTGCTGACAGGCATCACAAATAGTTTCAGCAGTTTTATTTGACACAACTGGTAGCTCATGACGATGTAACACATGACGAGCTATAGGAGCAGCAGGATGACCAAGGCGCGCATGCCAATGTGTAGGAGACACACGAACACCACTGAGACCTTGTGGAGAAAACTGCATAGGAGGTGCGGTGGGCGCGTCAAGTGCGTACAGGCCACCGCGAAGACGACCGCTAAGCAGAACGGCCCTCGTGTCCCGATCCTTGATAAAGAAACGAAAGGGGTGAAACTCAGCAAGGACATTATTATCACGAGTAAGTTGTGGAACAGATAACAAACTACGTGAGGCAGTGGGAATACGAAGAACATTAGAAAGATGCAGTTTTCGTGAATTGTGTGCAAGAAGTAATGCCTGACCAACATGAGAGATGCGCATACCTGCTCCATTAGCGGTGTGCACCTGATCATGGCCACGATACGGCTCCTGAGTGGAGAGCTTGCCCATGCCGTTGGTGAGGTGGTTCGTAGCGCCCGTGTCCATGTACCATGTAGGATCAATGGAGTAAGACGGAGTGCGGGCATGGTCAGGACCCGTCACGGCGGCCGCGGCTTGCTTTTCATTCCCTTTGCCATTGTTGCCGAGGCCTAGGAAGTCTTTCTTGTAACGACGATGACAGCGAGACGCAACGTGGCGCTCAATGCCACAGAGCTGACAGGCCTGCGGAGCTCCACAGGAAGAGCAACATGCCACCAGCCGGTTACCACCCGTGATGTTCGGAGCATTGCCCCGCGAGGCCGGCTTGAAGATGGCGCCGGTCTACCCCCTGAGGATGGCGCCTGGGGGGTTTTGCCACGAGTGGCCGCATTGGCAGAGGCGAAACCAGGGGTGGCGCGGCGCGCCTTGATGCGCTGTTCACGACCGAGTAGGCGTGCATAAAGCTCCCGAGGTGGGAGCGGATCATCACGGCCATGGATATTCTCAACGAGGTTGTCATAGTCATCATCAAGCCCGTTAAGCACGAAGGTGGTGAACTCCTCATCCTGCAGTGGCTGGCCAACGGAGGCCAACGTGTCGGCGAGACCCCGCATCTTGTTGAAGTAGTCCGTGATGCTGAGGTCACCAAGCTTAGTCTCGCCCAGCTCAGTGCGTATAGAGTGAGCACGCGCCTGAGACTGAGAGGCGAAACTGGTGTGAAGGGCCGCCCATGCCTCTCGGGACGTAGCGGCGAAGATGACCAGCGACGAGACACTCGGGGTGAGCGAGGACTGGATGGCAGAGAGGATGGCCTGATCCTGGGCCACCCAGGTGTGATAGGCCGGGTGATGAGGAGGCGGACACGGGATGGATCCGTCAACATAGCCTTCCAGGTAGCGGCTCCGCAGAAGAGGCATCACCTGAGCACGCCAGGACAAGTAGTTGTCCGGCGTGAGTTTCACCGGCAACAGGTGCGAGAAGTAGAACGGCGCCGGCATCGCAGTCAGATCGGTAGGAGCGTGCGGCGGTGCATAGTGGCCCAGCGAGGGCGCCGCCCCGGAAGGCGCCGAGTAGGGCGGGTAGTGCCCTGGGGATGCACCCGGAGCCCC